AAGCAGGCGCGCAAAAACGCGTCCCAGAAGAACACCAAGACGATCGTGGTCTCGGTCAAGCCAACGCGAGTGACGGCGGCGACGCGACTCCGCGTGTTGGAGCCACCGGCGCACCTGCACGTCGTGGAGCCGTCGCCGATCCTGGACGACGGGCCCAGGAGCCCCTCGAGTCTGCGCAAACTGAGTACGACGGACCAGTGCGTGCTCCAAAGCAGCGTCGAGTCTTTGCGCAGCAACGCCGACTTGAGTCTGAGTGCCGCCGAGGACGAAGACGAAGACGACAGCTTTGACGAAGACACTGACGGCTTCTGCGACATGGACGACGCAGAGATGGACGACGAAGACGAGCACGTGCCGCGCTGGGCGTCGCAGCTCCTGGAGGTCGTGGCCAACCAGCAAAGGATGCTCAAAGCCATGGCGGCGACGTTGGCGTCCGTCCAGCGCACGTCCAACGCGACGCACCGCGCGATGCGCAGCTCCTCAACCCAACTTGATGCGCTCGACGAAAAGAACTTGCACGAGATGTACTGCGCCATCTAAGCTCCCACAATAAGACCCTATTTATGCCGCACAGCTGCGCACCTTGCAGCATATGCAACCACAGCACAATGGGCGCGGCTCGACCACTGCCAGTGCGGCTGCAAAGCTCCAGAGCGGAGCGACTGGCGATCGTCGACGGAAGCGCGCGCCGACTCGGTCAGACAGGCGCCGCAACGACGCTTCAAGATCGCGCCTGGCTCAGTATCCGGCGCAGCTGGCCACGTATCCGGATGGCGCGTGGAACGAGCGGTGACTATTTTCCGACTCGACTTGAGCAAGATGCAACGCAGCACGGGGTTGAGCGTCGGCGTCGGCCTCCTCTCGCTAGGCATGTACGCAGTGCGGACGCGCCGAGGCCTCTACAAGTACGTGGCAGGCTGTGGTCATCGCGCTCATGCCATGCTGTAGGGCGGCGCTGGACCAGGCGAAGCGCACGCCGCCGGTGCTGGCCAAGAAGCCGCACATGGTGCCCTTTGGCAACGTGCCGGGCGAGAACCGCGGCGAGAACCCGATGGACCCGATCCTGTACATCGAGGACCCGTATTACTACGTCCGCGACGACACGCGCAAGAACAAGGAGGTCATTGCGCACCTCGAGCAAGAGAACGCGTACACGGAGCACATGACGAGCCACTTAAAGAACGCGCGCGAGAACTTGTACCATGAGCTGCTCTCGCACGTGCAAGAGACGGACGCCGCGTACCCGTACCCGCACGGCGACTACCTGTACTACACGCGCACCGAGAAGGGCAGCAGCTACACGTACCACTGCCGCAAGGCGCGCAACGACCCGAACGCTGTCGAGGAGCTCATCCTTGACGAGAACGAGCTCGCCAAGGGCCAGAGCCACTGCGACGTGGGCGCCGTCTCTGTGAGCACCGACCACCAGTTCCTCGCGTACAGCGTCGACTTTAACGGGTACGAGACGTACCAAGGCTTTGTGAAGAACCTTCGGACGGGTCAGATTCTCGCCGACCGCATCGAGAACGTCTCGGGCGGCCTTGTGTGGGGCAGCGACGCGACGACGCTCTACTACTCGACGATGGACGACGCGCACCGCCAGGACAAGATCTGGCGCCACACGGTGGGCGCGAATGGCAAGGACGAGCTCTTGTACACGGAGAATGACCAGCTCTTCTCGGCCTACATGGGCAAGACGCGCAGCGGGCGGTACCTTCTCTTGCAGTCGTCGAGCAGCGAGACGTCCGAGGTGTCGTTCATCGACTTGCAGGCGCCGGAGAAGGGCGTGACGCTGGTCGAGAAGCGCGTCAAGGGTGTCGACTACTCGGTCGACCACCAGGGCTCGACGTTCTTCATTGAGACCAACAAGGACGGCGCGGTCAACTTTAAGCTCATGATGACGGACGTATCGACGCCGTCGGCGGCGCACTGGACGGACGTGTTCCCGTACGACCCGTCCGTCAAGGTCGATGGCATCGACTGCTTCGAGTCCTTTGCGGTGCTGCACGGCCGCCAGGACGGCTTTACGCAGCGCTGGATCCTCACGCGCGACGGCGACCGCTTCACCAAGACGCGCATGGTGTTCTCGGACCCGATCTACACGATCAGCGGCGCACCCAACAAGGAGTACAAGACGTCGACGTACCGCCTCACGTACTCGTCGCCGACGACGCCGTTCACCACGTACGACTACGACGTTGCGACGCAGAAGATGGTGCTGCTCAAGGAGCGGCCGGTGCCCAACTACGACCGGTCGCTCTACGCGTGCGAGCGCATCGAAGCGTCGGCCGAAGATGGCACGATGATCCCCATGTCGCTCGTGTACCGCAAGGACAAGCGCACGCCCGGCACGCCGCAGCCAGTGCACTTGTACGGGTACGGCTCGTACGAGATTTGCATTGACCCGACCTTCACGGCGACGACGCTGCCGCTTCTCGACCGCGGCGTCATTTACGTCATTGCGCACATTCGCGGCGGCGGCGAGATGGGCCGCACGTGGTACGAAGACGCCAAGTACCTCACGAAAGCCAAGACGTTCTCGGACTTTGTCAACTGCGCCGAGCACCTTGTCAAGACCGAGATGACGCGCCCGGCGCTGCTGACGTGCGAAGGCCGGTCCGCGGGCGGTCTCCTCATGGGTGCGGTCCTCAACATGCGCCCGGACCTCTTCCAGGCCGCGATTGCCGGCGTCCCGTTTGTGGACGTGATGAACACGATGAGCGACGCGACGATCCCGCTCACGACGGGCGAGTGGGAGGAGTGGGGCAACCCGAACGAGGCCAAGTACTTTCAGTACATGCTCAGCTACTCGCCGTACGAGAACGTCAAGGCGCAGGCGTACCCCAACATGCTCGTGACCTCGGGCCTCTTTGACCCGCGCGTCGCGTACTGGGAGCCGACGAAGTGGGTCGCGCGCCTCCGCGAGCGCAAGACGGACAGCAACCACGTGCTCCTCAAGATGGATCTGACGTCCGGGCACTTCAGCGCCAGCGACCGCTACCACTACCTGCGCGAGAAGGCCTTTGATTTGAGCTACCTCCTTGACCAAGTCAAGTGCTTGACCGCTGAAGACCACAAGGCGCCCGCCAAGAAAGACTAAGCTTAGGACAATCAAGTGCGCTCGTGGAATGCATGGATGGGCTACTGTACTCGATTTTGTCGTGAGCTGGTTTTGGATTCAGATTCGGATTCGGATTCGGATTCGGGAACGCTCCAAGGAACCAATCGCGGAACGGTCTCTGGTAGCGTATCCGGATGACGGAAGGACTGCAATTTGCACGAGACGCATGGCGAGCGCAACGACCCTCGGCGCCCTCGACGCGCTCGCAGCGCAGTTCCCGATGCAGCTGTACCCGCGCCCGGCGCCCTTCACATGCGACTCGTTTCGTGCGGGCGACTTGGTCTACGTCTCGATCAGCAGTGGGAAGGCCAAGAGCGGCGAGGCCGACAGCGCGCGCCAAGGGGCGTCGACGGGCCGCCTCTTTGCCCGCGCCCGCGTGGTCGAGACGGCGCCGACAGCGTTTCCGGGCCGCGTCAAGATCGTGTACGCAGATGGATCGACGTACCACGCGCTGCCGTCGCGCTTGACGCCGCAGCTCTTTCGCCGGGCGACGGCCACGGGGGTCCTCGTCACGGCCGAGACGTCGCACTACCGGCGTCTCGCGCGCACGCAGATCGACGCGACCGATATCGTGCTCGAGATTGGCTGCGACCTCGGCCCGACCGTCGAGATCATTGCGCAGACCGTCGGCGTCGAGAACGTCATTGGCATTGACAAGTCGTCCGACTCGATCGCAGTCGCCAAGGCGTCGCACCCGCAGTGCCAATTCATCGAGATGGACATCTTTCGGTCGTCGAACGAGCTGCTCGCGCTCGCCTCGCGCTGCTCCAAGATCCTCATCGACATCAACGGCAACCGGCTCCTCGGCGCCGTCGTCGACGCCCTAGCACTTGTGCTGCACGGCTGCCCGAAGCTCGACCTTGTCATCGTCAAGAGCGTCGAGCTCCACCGCGAGCTCCAGCGCCGGTCCTCTTGATCTTTTCGGATATCATGCATTATCCGGATGTTTGTAAACCAATGAAATTTGCGAGCCCCGAGATCCACCACCACAGCGAATAGTAAGATTGGAGATCTGATGGACGTCTTGGTCGCAGCGAGCTACGCGGGCGTCGACGTCTCGGCCGTCGTGGACCCGGAGATCGCGCCGCTCCTCGCACCGCTGGCCGTTGCCGCCGTCGACGTGGATATGGACCTCGAAGACGGCGAAGTCGCCGACATGGAGGACGTCCCGCCGACGCCGCTGACAGCA